TGTAGTCCAGGCTGGTCCTGAACTTGCAACAATCCTACCTGCCTCAGCCTCCCAAGAGCTGGAAGTACAAGCATGAGCGAGCCACTATGTCAGCTTAACCTTCTGCTTCTTCAGAAGAGTGGAGAAATAGAGTAGAAAACTATCAGCAGAGTGGAGGGATGTTTCTTAACTATTCAGAGTTTTCATTGGAAAGCATTCCAAAAATAATGCAGACAACATCCTTATCATCAAAATTCCAGAGTTCAGCATTCCTGCTGCTTTCAGAAGGCCCCATGATGATGATACAAGTTTGCTCATTGTTTTCCTAATTGTTTTGGCTGTGAGACAAAGAAAACCTAGGAATTAAGTGTGGACCAAGGATGGGTAAGAAAGCAAGCTAGTTACAAAGTGAGGATGTATTGAGAGAACATTTTAAGGACAGTACTTTATGCTGTGAAATGCCGCTATAACTGAGATTTAGGTAAAATCTGGTGTGACAGTTTTGAAGGCAATTCTGAAACTTCATTTACAGAATTCATTGTGATAGTTACAGTCCCCACCGAAAATAAAGGAACTACCCACAGCTTCAGTACTTCATTAAAAAACAGAACAAAAAACAACTCTTGAATCTCATTCCTATGGAGTTGTTTCAGGATTGTTGATACTGAAGGGAGCCTGAGAGATGGCTCAGTAGAATAAGCGCTTGGCTGGCAAGTGCAAGGGCCTGAGTTCAAACCCCAGTTCCACAAAAACAAACAAACAAGAGTTGAAGGTATTGCATTGTCCAACTGCCTCCTGTTTTGCCTCAAATCACTAACTAGTACAGGTTAGAAATGTTACTCAGCTGGGGGACTTGCATTTTGTTGGCTGGGAGAATAATGAGGGATAGCGGTGTGGTCCTGGAGACCACAGCAATGGAGTTCTGAGGAGCTGCTGGTGGGAGGGGCAGGGTTCATCACAACACTTCTCTACCCAGAGTCCCTACTGCCCTGTTTTCTTATCTTTCAAATGCACTTTCTCTTTCTTCTGGCTTAGTGATTAAAAGATAATGTTCTATGTCTTCCTGTCTAAAGATGAAAAGGAATTGAAGAATGACAGGTGAATCAAAGGTTAAGAATAGACAAATCACACTGTTGACAGTTGGGTAGGGAAACACTGAGGGAGATTGTGACGTGCGAGTGTGAAATTCACAGAATGCTACTCATGCACACCTTTCATAACAAAAGGTGAACTGGCATCATTTGATTGGAATATATATTCCTTTTTTTTTTTTTTTTTGAACCAGGGATTGAACTCAGGCCCTTGCGCTTGCCAGGCAAGTGCTTTTTCTGAGCCATCTCCCCACTCTGGAATATATATTGGAGAAAAAAAAATATATTTTTGTTCGTTTACAGTACTGGAGGTTGAACTGAGGGGTAGCTACACGCTATGTAGCCCTCTACCATTGAGTTACTTAGCTAGTCCTTTAAAGAATACTGTAAATGTACCTACTTTTGTAGTGCTATTATTTTTTTGAGAGTCTCATTTATATAGCTCAGGTTGGCCTTAAACTCACAGCAATACTCCTGCTCCAGCTTTCCAAGTGTTAGGACAACAGGACTGTGCCACCATGCCTGGCTAGGTGCTAAGGATTGAATCTAGGGTGTCACACATGTGCAGCAAGTTCTCTACCCTAAGTTGCATTCCAAAACCCTTTTAAGTTATTTTGCGACATCTCACTAAGTTGTTCATGATAAGCTTGAATGTGCAATTCTTAAGCTTTAGATGCCTATGTAGGGATTTTATAGGCATGCATGATTTTGAGTTTTGTTTAAAAAGAGGTCAGAAAATGTACTTTTCTGCTCAAAAGCCTATCTTGTTATCTGTTTTTTTTTTTTTTTTTTTTTTTTTTTTTTTGTGGTACCAGGGATTGAACTCAGGACCCTGTGCTTGCCAAGCAGGCACTTATTCTGTTGAGCTATCTCCCTGGCCCTGTGTTTTATAATCATGAAAATGTGGCTGAACAGATCAAGCCCACAGACTTACGTATGTTTTAAGTAGGCAACCACCTTCAGGAATCGCCTTGAAAAAACATCTCAACTTGCAGACAAGAAAATGAAGCTCAAAATGGGTTTAGCCTATTTGCTTAAAGTAAAAATGGTAAAAACATTTAGGCCAAAGTCAGAATTTTTTTCTTTTTTTATGTATTTGGTATAGAGCCTCTACACAGCTCTGACTCATAGTGATCCTCTTGTTTTCAGCCTCTCCAGCACTGAGATTATAGGCATGTGCCACCATGCCCAGATTTAGTAACCCACTCAGCATGCCCAGAGCCAGCCTGACATGTGATGCCGGAGATCGAACCTGGGTCCCTGAGCTTGCCTAAGCTATCAACTGAGCTGTCTTGCTGGCCCTTAGGGCAGAAATTTAAACCTGTTTTCTGAGCTTTTTTTTCCTGCTGTAACTTACATACTACATTTTGAGAATCGGTGTTTTATAGCAATGAATCCTTAGAATTGATTTGGAATTGTGTTGTGCTGGAGCCTTCGTGCACTGGCTTTTGCCAGCATCTACTCTTCAAACTGGATGCATCTGTGCTTTCCATAGTTAGCAGTGTTGATAAATATAAACCAGATGTTAACCAAACTGTCTTGCTTGGCCTCAGTGCATAATCCCACATCACCACCTCCAAAGACTGCACCTCCGCCTCCAAGAGCATCTCAAACCATCAAATCTACCACCAAACGTTCACCTAAATCACCAAAAAAGAAGAAGACTAAGAAAGTTGTAGAATCAGAGGAAATAACGGAAGGTAGGAAGATGGCAGATGCAACTAGATTTCTTAGATTGAAATTACCTGCAGGTGAACTATCTGTATGAGTATTCTCAGAGGGTAATCTTACGAATCGTGAAAGGCTCATTACATTTTTGGCATTCTTTTTTTTTTTTTTAAAATTGTGTGTGTGTGTGTGTGTCCAGCTCAGCCCACCAGGGGGCGGGGCTGGCTGGCATGTGGTGCTGGGGGATTGAACCGCAGTCCCTGTGCTTTAGCTAAGCTTGTTCTAAGTAGGTGCTTTAGACCACTGAGCCATCTCACCAGCCCCATTTTTGGCATTCTGACCTTAAGTCAGTTTAAGCTAAAAGAGTATCTCAGGGCTTTAGTCTTTCTTTACCGAATTCAGCATGGGTTTAGGTGAAAGTAAAATGGGTCTTGCTGTAACAAACAAAACCAAAATAACTTCTGATTTTCTTTACAGAGGATCTGGATTTTCTGAGAATTTTTGCAGATGTGGGAAAGGGAAGTCTTATTCCTAGACTGTGTGAACTCAGGCACCTTGATTTTAACTGACAAATTCAAAAGACATTTAATTGTATTACCAATAAAATAAAGATAGAACACAACATATTTGTAGCTCAGTTATCAATTCTTAATGTATTTGGAGCGGGATTTTTAATCACAGTTGGTGTGATCAAACTTTTTATTTGATTTGTAGAACATTCTGTTTCTGAAAACCAAGAGTCTTCCTCCTCCTCCTCTTCTTCTTCAACTATTCGGAAAATCAAGTCTTCCAAAAATTCAGCTGCTAATAGAGAATTGCAGAAGAAACCTAAAGGTTTGAGCATTGATAAAGATCAAAGACTATATCAATGCCACATTAATAATTTTTAAAAGTAATGCATTTTGGTAGAATGATTTGAGAGTATCACAATATTTGAGAGTGGTGCATAACTTCATAAAATTTATTTAGAAAGTACCAAATGAACACTTGCCATAGGAAACAAGTGCCAAGAGGCTGGGAAGCCACTGTTGAAAACGAAGGATAAGAACAGGCTGGCAAGAGTGATGTTTCTGTTGTACCGTGATTTCCGTCTACCTGATCATTTTGCTTTCTTCCTCTTCCATTGTCTTCTTTGACTCTTCATTTTTCCTTTCCCAGCTTAATTTTATTTAACACATATGGTGCTTTAAATGTTTTACAAATATTAATCCATTAAATTTTCATAAGCCTCCCTGGATTTATTCATATTTTATAAACCTTTATTATTTCCCTAATAAATTATGACTGGATATTTGAAGAATTTTATTTCCTAGATGACTTCCTCAGAAGCAGACTCTCCAGCTGAATATTATCTTTTGTCACTCAAGATTATACATAATAGACATACATTCATTTGATAAATGGAATTCATCTGTGAAGTGCCCTTCGGGCTTTGAAGCCCAAGCAGGGGGAAGCTGCCATGGGAAATCCTACTTAACAGTGTTTTGGTTGCCCTGGCAGCCTACTGTTCTGCCATCTGTCAAGATTAGCTGGGCAGAGGAAGGCCAGCAGCTAACAGTTCTAAGGTAGCAGCTGTGGTTCAAGTGTAAGATGTTTGCACCAGGTTTCCAGGAAGGAGCAGCCCTGAGCGGTGAGGAACAAGGATGAGGAAAAAAAGGGGCTCAAGAACATTAATATTATCAAAAGATGAATTATTGATCACTGTTGATTTCAAAATTGCCACTGGCTACCATATACAATATTCATTGGGATTTTTGTGCATTTCTTTTTTTTTAAATTTTATTTATTCTATTTATTTATTTTATTTTATTTTTTAAATTAATTTATTTATTGTGTGTG